ATATATATTGCACACATTTAAATTCTATATTATATACTAGACGACCCAGTTTTCCGTCTGAAAACAGTCTGTTGGCAGCAGTACATATCACAAACCAATATCCCACTATGCCCAATCTACCTAGACCCTAACTACCATCCATAAGGGCATCCTTCTTCTTCTTGGTTCTTTATTTTTAGTGTTGGAAGGGATCGAGCCTTATCTGTCAGAGTGTTTGAACTCTCGAGAGTTTTTCGAATTTATCAACCATGATCTTTTGCCGACGCGACCACGCCTCCATCACAATTAAGGATACGTGTCAACTGGTTATGGGCCAGTGATGCCATTGACTCCGATTTCAGCCTGCTTTTCCATAGCCTTGTCCAACCAAGAACAAACTACAAGGCAGCAGTTGTTTGATTTTGGAGTTGTCTCCTAGAAGAGTGGCTGTCCCCAGCTAACGAGCCTCATCTGCCCGAGGGTTTGAACTCGAGACTTTTGGGTTTAGCAACCATGAGCTTTACCGACTCGACCACGCCCATAAGGGCATACATTTTTGACATCCAAGCTGGAATATGTTTTTTTTCCTGCTGACACACAATGATTTCTTAATGATAATCAGATCTATAAATAATGAATAAAAAACTAATTTCTCCATAATCTTGAAAACGGTCGGAACCTAATAGTTATAGGAATAACGAATGAATAAATTATTAAAGTAATGATCTAAGAAGTTAAAAAAAAAAAAAAAACTAGACGCGACTTAAGTGACTAGCTAATTGGCACGTATCATCTTGGCCAGGATTTTTCTTTTGTATGTTGAAAGAATGTATGATTTATATATTATTGTTTTTATTATTGTTTTTACTCTTCCTAAAGAAGGCCACTCTTAACAGTAAAGTAAAATTACGCCAAATATTATTTTTAATTAAACACTACCCTAATTTATACGAAACATTTAAGACCTATAGTATGGCCGAAAGATAATAGTGCTCTATAACACATCAAAGTTTTATATATATATATATATATATATATATATATATATATATATATATATATATATATATATATATATATATATATATATATATATATATATATATATATATATATATATATATGTATATATTTCTTTGATGACGTTAACAAACATTCAGAGAAATATTCTTAATAAAAAAATTATAGCAACGAAACTTTATGGATGAATTTCCCTTCAAAGCAAAATAAAATGCTGTCCTAAGAAAAAACATTTGCAAATTTACATACAAACTTGTACATCAGTCACCCCCCCCCCCCCCCCCCCCCCATATAGTATCGATTCAGCCCAGGCGACCACGGGCTGAGATCACCCAAGCGTGACCCACACCACTGTGACGTCACCAGGCCTGACAATCAAAAAGTTTCATCTGTGATGGTTAATGATCTATGTAAACAACATCAACATCTTAAGGGTTGAGAGACGCAAATCGGATGGGGGCAACAGGAGTGTTGTGGGGCGAGGGGTGGCGGGGGGTGGGATTACCACTCAGTTCTAAGTCGTGGGGGATTATAGTTTTATGTGTTTACAACATCACTAAGCGGGTAATACCCCCCCCCCCCCCACACCACACACACACATACAACCCAGGTCAGGTTAAAGACATTTTTATCATAAAGAAACACGGGGTATTCTTTGCTTGTAGTTTTGAGGGGTTAAGGGGGGGGGTTGGGGGGGGGGGGCGGTTGGGTACATTAATATAGTGTGTGTGTGTATTTGTGTGTGGGGAATACCGGACATAAAGTGGAGGGTTATTGACCACACACACAGACACACACACATACACACACACACAGTCCACCTGTTAACGACCGAAAAATCTTTTTCAACAGTTTTCAAATTTCTTCTTATTGTATTGACGCAACTCGCCTCAAAAGATACGATGTAACGCGTGTTCTGATTGGCTACACTGGACGAAAACATAACGGTGAAAATGTATATAACAAGCCAATCAGCTCAGCCTACGCTGAAAATGAGCAGTGCACAGGCTAGACTAATCTAAGAGATTAACGACTGCAAGATGTTTAGATCACTTGTCATCTTTGTACTAGTGTTACATGAATTGACTGTTGGACAAAATTTTAATAGTAAGTTTGAGTACAAATTTGGTTTCTATTTCAGCTTTTTTTTTTAAAAAGAGTTGGTCAAAAACTTGTTTCTATTTCTAAAGGAGTTAGCCCAAATTTGTTTTAATTTTAGCTTTTCTACACGAGTTAGTCAAAAATTGATTTTAACTTCAGCTTTTTCTAAAGGAGTTGGTAAAAAATGATTTCAGTATTACCGTTGCCTAAATTAATTAGTCTAAAATGGGTTTCATTCCCAATGTTTTGTTATAAAAGAATTGTGTAAGCTTTGAAATCAAAATGTGATATTAACTTCAGAATCTTAGGATAAATAATGTTAAAATTAATGTCAATACAAAGTATTGTAAATTTCATATTTAAACAAATTAATAGAAGAATCAAAACCAGACTGATTATAAAATTTCATGTTTTTAAAAACAAAAAATTTCGCAGGCTGTTTTAGTATAACTTATTATAACTTATCTACAGACTATACCGATGTTGTTGGTATTTTTATGGTTCTAAAACTTGTCCTATTTAGCCACAAATGAACAGTTGGAACCAATTTCCGACGGGGAAGTAGAGTACGGCGAAAAAAGCGACGCGGCGTTTGATGAAGTGCTTTTATCTCTTGATGGACGTCCCGTCAAATTACCCAAGAAAGCGAAAGTAAGTCGAATAAGATTAATTTGATACTAGCCGTCCTACTATAAGACAAATACATCTTGATCTTTTCTAATTAGTGTTTCTTTCAGACATTTTTTCTCCGTGGGGAGAGGGGGGGGGTCTTGAGATTTAGCCTTGTTCAACCCTGGTTCTATTTTTAAAATTTGTTTTAATTGTTTCTTTCAATCTTCTCTCTGGGTTTAATTGGGTCGATAGAAAAAAAAACAACAACAACACAAGAAATTATATTTTTGCATAACCATTCTTATGGTTATCCGACACCCTACCCCTGCATGTTTATCCCCCCCCCCCCTCTGCCCCTAGCTTCAAGCAAAAGATTATTTGAAAAAAACAACTTGTTCTTTCCCTTGCTATGTTCGATCTTCGAAATAAAAAATAAAATGTGCAGGTAGCCGGGTTATATAACTTTCAATTGTGCAGATAGTCAGGTTATATAACTTTCAATCGTGCAGATAGCCAGGTTATATAACTTTCAATTGTGCAGATAGTCAGGTTATATAACTTTTAATTGTGCAGGTTATATAACTTTTAATTGTGCAGATAGCCAGGTTGTATAACTTCCAATTATGCAGGTTATATAACTTTTAATTGTGCAGATAGCCAGGTTATATAACTTTCAATTGTGCAGATAGTCAGGTTATATAACTTTTAATTGTGCAGGTTATATAACTTTTAATTGTGCAGATAGCCAGGTTGTATAACTTCCAATTATGCAGGTTATATAACTTTTAATTGTGCAGATAGCCAGGTTATATAACTTCCAATTATGCAGATAGAGAGCCTGTATAGCAGACAGTATAGGGCTGGCAGTATCGATACCTATGAGGAATCGCGCTCCAGGTGTGAACGTGGCAACTACAGTGCCATCAAAGACGTGACCCGGTTGGCAGACGTGAATCTTTATGTGCAGTTCCTGCAGTACCAGGATTGGTATGGGGATTACAAAAAGTAGGTCAACACTAATTAGTGTGATTAGTTTGATTTTCTGAATTGGGGTGTTGTGTATAGTTGGAGTCAAACTTGAAAGAAAGCTGTACCAATTTAAATTCCTTGACGGTTACTCTTAGGGCAGGATGACTTGACAAAGGCTATAGATATTATTTTTTTTGGGGGGGGGGGGGGGGGGGGGGGGTTAAGAGGAGGGGGGTGATGTAAACTTTGATAGGTCAGATCAGTTTATTTACATGGTTTTAAAAATAGTTTAATTAAGGTTAATCAACACTAATGATATTTGAAAAATAACGTGTTTCAGTTTTTAGCAAAAAAATTAACACGACTTAGCAAATCAATCTGAACTTTATGACCAGTGGTAATGGCTTTGCTAGGTTGGAGGTCTAAGACCTCGATGGAAAAAATTGTGGGAAAGGTGTGGTGTTTTAAAATGGCTGAAATCTCAAATTAAGAAAGATAGTATCTTGCTTGATGGATCAAAGGGTTAAATTTTCATACTGTGATCTTTTTAAACTATGCAAATCATTGTCATGATCAAAAGCGCCACAACAATGGTGGAAGGGGGGGGGTGCGGACCGTACCTGGAACACCATATTAGGAGGAAGAGGACATCGTTATATATATATATAATATATATATATATATATATATATATATATATATATATATATATATATATATATATATATATAGATAGATATATATATAGAGAGAGAGAGAGAGAGAGAGAGAGAGAGAGAGTTGGTGGAGGGGGTGGCGCCCGTCACGCCACTGCTCATGTAGCCCACAGAAAGAAGCACTTGGCACCCCTCAGACTCAGCTGTCTCCTCCCACTTTCAGGTGCTGCCCCGCCTCCCAGAACTACGGCTGCCGCAGCGTCAAGCGACTTCTGCCTTGCTTTAGGTCTTACGTCACCAAGTTCGCATGGTGCTGTCCCCTAGAGAGAATCGCTGTGGTCTCTTGCAATTGTGGGTAAGTGGTTTCAAACGATACGTGCAAATATATATATATATATATATATATATATATATATATATATATATATATATATATATATATATATATATATATATGAATACATACACGTTTATATTAGTATATTAATACTAATAGTTTCGCTGTCTGTCTATCTGACAAGAACGCTCTGTCTGACAAGAACGCTCTAGAGAAAACACAAGGAAATTAAAACATGCATAGTATTTCGAAAAACGAAGTATGACGTCGACACATTTAGCACAGAGTAGAAAATAATCTCAATCCGGAGAGTGCACACAGTAATATGACGTCATTGATTATCGAGTAAACATTGAATAAAAAGGAAATTTTGTCTTATCTAAGTGGTTTGCGTGAAGAGTTTCTTTCATACAATTCTTCGGGTAGGGGTGGGGGGGTGGGGGGTGGTGTGTGGGGGGTGGGGTTGGTGGGGGTGGGGGTGGGGGTGGTGTGTGGGGGGGGTGGGTTGGTTTCAGTGTTTCTGGGAGGGTGGGGGGTGGTGTGTGGGGGTGGGAGGTGGGGGTGGTGGGGGTGGGGGATGGCGTGTGGGGGGGGTGGGTTGGTTTTAGTTTAGAGAAAAGAGACAGCACTATCAGCCTAGCGCCTGTTGTACCCTTCCTCAGCGGGCCATTTTTCTCGTAATATAATAATAGAATTGACCAAAACAAAGCGTTACTACATAAGTTGATTCGTGCTCTTGATTCTGCTACACAAGCCCTTTATTTGTAGAATCCTTTTATTTTGCTTAGCCACTGATTTTACTTCTATCAAATCTCTTTTTTATCGATTGATAAATAATCACGTTTTATATTCATCTATGAAACCCATAAGTTTATTCATCTATGGAAACCATCGATTTCATGCAAGAAAAATAAAGCCAGCAGTGTTTTTTACAGACTTTTTTCTCCTGGGGGGTGGGGGGGGGTGGGGGGTGGGAGGGGGAGCACTTGAAATTTTCCGGTGGGCGGACTAAAATTTCCGGGGGGACGGACGCGGTCAAAAATTAAAAGTATATATTTTCTGTATAAATTCTATTTCTTCCGCGAGTGGGGTGGGGGCGGGGGGGGGGGGGGGTGTGTAGACTTTCTTCTTGAGCCCCCCCCCCCCCCCTGAAGAGATGCCTGGAAGAAACTATGCTCGCCAGTTGTCACAAAATATACAGCAGTCTTGTTTCGTTTCTCGCAGGAAATACGGTAGTGTCACAAATCGACATCAATCTTAATTTTTTTCGTTTCTTTCAGAAAATGTGGTAGTATTACAAATCTACATCAATCTTTTTTTTCGATTTTATCAGGAAATGCGGTAGTGTCTCAAATGTACCCTTATCTTGTTTCGTTTCTTACAGGAAGTGCGGTAGTGTCTTAAATGTACCCCTATCTTGTTTCGTTTCTTACAGGAAGTGCGGTAGATTTGACAACTACTGTTTCTACATTGGTCAGTGCCAGCGACGCTTCACCTACACCAGATACGCTGCCGTCTGCTACGACACCTGGTGGCGAACGGTCATGTATTTCGTCAGTTACCTGCCCACCAGCTGCTACTGTAGGCTCACCTAGCAGCAGACGATCAGGAAACGTCCTTGACACCAGAGCAGCAGAATTATGTCACCTACTTTGATAATTTGTGTTCATTAGCATATTTTGAAGAATTTCGTCCAAATCTCGCTAATCAACACACACAACTGTAGATAACTCTGCTCAGACCTTGTCATCTAATAAAATGATTTGTAGAAATAAACAAACCTAAACGAAACAAAAATAAATGTTTATTTTCGTATTGATTTTATAATTATTGTTGTGTATTTTACACCCCCCCCCCCCTCAACCCGATTTTTCGATAAAGAAAAAAACACATTTAATTCTGGCTTGATTTAAACTAATATTTCTTTAGGTATATTAAAATACCCCCCCCTCCCCTCAGACTTTCTGATAAACAAAACACATTTAACTCTGGCTAAATTTAATTAAATATTTTTTTAGAAGGATAATAGTGGGACGGTGTGGCTTAGCGATAGAGGGCTATACTGCTAATCGAAAGTCTAGAGTTCGGATTCGGGTTCAAACACTAAGATTGTGTAGGAAAAGAGAGCAACTATAACTAAAGCACCGAAAACAGCCCATGGGAACTGTCATAGACACACATGATACCAGGCCCCAAGTTAGATGTTGGGAAATTTTAGTTTTTTTTTAGATTTTAGTTTTGGACTAACAGCTCAGAGACTCCCCATTTTATCTACCAATTAACTTTTGTAAAAACTGACATTTTCATTGCTTTTTAAATGAACATATACACATTTACAGTTGTAGTTATTTTTAGATGATTCTATTGTCGTCTGAAATACACATATGTAGTTTGAAATAAGTGGATTAAAAGATTAAAAGATTAAAAACGAACCTCCACCCACACACGCCGCTTCTTTCACACATACACATATACACACAGACATACACTGACGTAGTGGGACGGCGTGGTCTTAGCCGGACTGCTAACCCGAAAGTCTCGAGTTCGATTCCGAGTCCAAGTAAGTAGAACGTCCCTGAGTTCACCCAGCTGTGATGGGTACCTAACGCAGGTCAGGGAAAGAAAAGGTGGCTGGTCATAGTGCTGACCACACCTTCCCTTCATATGCCGAGGTAAAAAAAACATGAACTCTACTTCATCTGCCCAATGGATCGCTAGTTCTAAATATGACTCTTGACTTTACACACACCGAATCACACGCAATATACGTCCAATAACTCTCAAAGAGTATTCGTATTACATCATTAAACTTACATCATTGTCTTTGGTTGACTAACTCCCAGTATATAGTGGTTGGGTGGTCCCCTTGGGGGGGGGGGAGGGTGGGGTGAGTGGGTCGGGGAAAGGATTTAGAACATAGAGACCATACAATGGTGCTTGATTGTGTCGGTATAACATTAACACGTGGTGTCGGTATAACATCAACACATAGTGTCCGTATAACATAAAAACATAGCATCGGTATAACATGAATATATATAGTTTCGGTATAATATGAAGACGTAGTGTCGGCATAACATGAAAACATAGTTTCGGTATATCATGCACACTGACGAAGGTATAATGTGAACACACGGTGTCGGTATAATATGAAAGCACGGTGTCGGTATAACATGAACACATGGTGTCGGTATAACATGAACACATAGTGTCGGTATAACATAACACACAAAACCGCTGAGCAATTGAATTTCAAACTCACGTCACACCTCATTCCCTCCCCTTCGCCAGTCATCAAACAGGGGAACATAACTCTGAAAAATATTTTAATTGCCCTTTTTTCTTATCAAGTCTTGCTTAAGCACAACGTTTCAATTCGACACAAACTTCGGATCACTTGTTCGATTTAGCCAACTAATTAACTTTAATTGTTAAGATTTCATTTGATGTTTATTGATTGGGATAAGCTGTCTTTCTTTGATGACGAGTGAATTTTTGAAATATAAACAAAGGTTGTTTATTGGCTGATGATATTGATTCAAAGGGGTTGAGATCGAAAGAGTGGCTTTTTGATATTCAAAACACGTGTTAGGACACGAGGACATGAGGTCAAATGGACCTTCTGGACATGAGGACATAAGGTCAAATGGACCTTCTGGACATGTGGACATAAGGTCAAATGGACCTTCTGGACACCAGGACATAAGGACCTTCTGGACAAGAGGACACATGGACCTTCTGGACACCAGGACATAAGGACCTTCTGGACATGAGGACATGAGGACATAAGGACTTTCTGGACATGAGGACATGAGGACATAAGGACCTTCTGGACATGAGGACACATGGACCTTCTGGGCATGATGACATGAGGAAACATGGACCTTCTGGGCATGAGGACATGAGGACATAAGGACTTTCTGGACATGAGCACATGAGGACATAAGGACCTTCTGGACATGAGGACACATGGACCTTCTGGGCATGATGACATAAGGACCTTCTGGACATGATGACATGAGGACACATGGACCTTCTGGACATGAGGACATAAGGACCTTCTGGACATGAGGACACATGGACCTTCTGGGCATGTGGACATAAGGACATAAGGACCTTCTGGACATGAGGACATGAGGACATAAAGACCTTCTGGACATGAGGACATAAGGACCTGCTGGACATGAGGACATGAGGACACATGGACCTTCTGGACATGAGGACATGAGGACACATGGACCTTCTGGACATGAAGACACATGGACCTTCTGGACATGATGACATGAGGACATGAGGACATGAGGACCTTCTTGACATAAGGACATGAGGACATAAGGACCTTCTTGACATGATGACATAAGGTCAAATGGACCTTCTGGACATGTGGACATAAGGTCAAATGGACCTTCTGGACACCAGGACATAAGGACCTTCTGGACATGAGGACACATGGACCTTCTGGACACCAGGACATAAGGACCTTCTGGACATGAGGACATAAAGACTTTCTGGACATGAGGACATGAGGACATAAGGACCTTCTGGACATGAGGACACATGGACCTTCTGGGCATGATGACATGAGGAAACATGGACCTTCTGGACATGAGGACATGAGGACATAAGGACTTTCTGGACATGAGGACATGAGGACATAAGGACCTTCTGGACATGAGGACACATGGACCTTCTGGGCATGATGACATGAGGAAACATGGACCTTCTGGGCATGAGGACATGAGGACATAAGGACTTTCTGGACATGAGCACATGAGGACATAAGGACCTTCTGGACATGAGGACACATGGACCTTCTGGGCATGATGACATAAGGACCTTCTGGACATGATGACATGAGGACACATGGACCTTCTGGACATGAGGACATAAGGACCTTCTGGACATGAGGACATGAGGACATAAGGACCTTCTGGACATGAGGACATAAGGACCTTCTGGACATGAGGACACATGGACCTTCTGGGCATGATGACATAAGGACCTTCTGGACATGATGACATGAGGACACATGGACCTTCTAGACATGAGGACATAAGGACCTTCTGGACATGAGGACATGAGGACATAAGGACCTTCTGGACATGAGGACACATGGACCTTCTGGGCATGTGGACATAAGGACATAAGGACCTTCTGGACATGAGGACATGAGGACATAAAGACCTTCTGGACATGAGGACATAAGGACCTGCTGGACATGACGACATGAGGACACATGGACCTTCTGGACATGAGGACACAAGGACCTTCTGGACATGAAGACACATGGACCTTCTGGACATGAGGACATATGGACCTTCTGGACATGATGACATGATGACATGAGGACATCAGGACATGAGGACCTTCTTAAAATAAGGACATGAGGACCTTCTTGACATGATGACATGACGACGTATTGACCTTAAGACCATTAGGACACAACAAATGTGAGGACATTGACACCGTGAAATCCACCCATTTTCCAACCACAAATTGACCGACATAACTTGAGCCAAATTTTCTCCACCGTTTCAACAAGTGTATAGACTACAAACTACGATGTTAAGTGAACCGTAGGATTTGACTGTGACGTTGATCTAAAGCATTGATTGCTGATGCCTGCTATTGACCTGATTTTGTTGGTAAACTATCGGTTAATCAAACATCGATTCATATGTAAAAGTAGAAAAAAATATTAGAGTTGGAAGAATGGACAGCGATTTATTTTCAGTAGTCAAGTTTGGCCGTCCAAACCTCACATATAAGTTGACCTTCTAATACACACATATTTTGACCGTTCAAATTTAATTTCTGTTGACAAAGTTTAGTATAAGCTGACCGTCCAAACTTCACAGGAGCCAGCCGTCGAAACCTCACATTAGCTGGCCGTCTAAACCTTTAGTATACTGATAATACTCTCCTGACCTTTGTTCTAGATATGACCCCTGTTCTAGATATGACCCCTGTTCTAGATATGACCCCTGTTCTAGATATGACCCCTGTTCTAGATATGACCCCTGTTCTAAATATGACCCCTGTTCTAGATATGACTCCTGTTCTAGATACGACCCATGTTCTAGATATGACCCCTGTTCTAGATATGACCCCTGTTCTAGATATGACCCCTGTTCTAGATATGACCCCTGTTCTAGATATGACCCCTGTTCTAGATATGACCCCTGTTCTAAATATGACCCCTGTTCTAGATATGACCCCTGTTCTAGATATGACCCCTGTTCTAAATATGACCCCTGTTCTAGATATGACTCCTGTTCTACATATGACCCCTGTTCTAGCTATGTGACCCCTGTTCTAGATATGACTCTGTTCTAGATATGACCCCTGTTCTAGATATGACCCCTGTTCTAGATATGACCCCCGTTCTAGATATAACTCCCAACACTTTCAAGTTATCTCTTCAAAGCTAATAACTCCTTAAAAGGAGATCACGTGCAACTAATCACGTGCGTGTCAGAAAAAGTGATCGAAAAAATATTGATTGACCCCTCGCTTTCTGTTTGATCGAAATATGATCGGCGCTGATGACAGGTGTACACACGAGTGTACAGATGTACAGATATGTGTGTACACAGATGTCCGAGATGTACAAGTGTGTGTATAGCTGTAGAGGCGTGTGTGTACACAGATGTACAAGATGTTAAAGCGTGTGTGCACAGATGTACGAGGTGTACAAGCGTGTGTACATACATACACAATGCAAAAGCGTTTGTGTACAGCCGCACAAGCTGTGTGTACAAATGTACAAGAGTGTGTTCTGTTGTACACAATGTACAAGCTTAATGTACAGATGTACAAGCTGTGTTTACAGCTGTACAAGGTGTACCAGCTGTCTACCTCAAACACAAACAAGTACCGGACTGGACTGGTTTCGGGCTCAACTCGCCTTTGTCACAAGTTGAAAAAATTTCATCATATTATTCGAGTGCTGTTTTCGTTTAGAATTTAACCCCCACCCCCCCCCCCCCCCAACCAAACACGCACCATCATAGTGCAATGTCAGCACATAGAGCAGACGAAGTACGCCCACTCGTATATCTCTTAATCCCCATAGTTTGACGGGATTGTGTGGTTAGCAATGATGCCCATCAGTCACGATTGTATCAGCTTAGAATGGGCTGCGCTCCGTGACGTCATCAGACCAAGTCACGTGACCACGTGACCCTGGGGTAACCAGCCAGGGGTTTGGTCAGTGCCTGACCCTCGATTGATTTTGATGTTTCACTACTCAGTTTTTTGACCTTGGAAACTTTATGACGAGTCACTTTATGCCCCTTTGATCGTCCTTAAATTTGCTGTGACTACTGTAACAATTGATGTTTTTCATTAGTGATTGGTCAGGTAAACTCTACTTCACCTGTAACGTAGGCCGCCAGGTCCAAAATATAATTTTTTTTTAAGTTTAGTTACCTGATTCGTTTGGTGAGCACTATGTCCATATGACTACCCTAAATTTAAGGGTCGAAAGGTGAGATAGAAATCAATAAATCAATTATGGTGACCCAGCGACCACGAGGGTTAAGAGATGATTGATTGATTGATTGAATAAAGGTCACCCCCCTTCCCCTCCCTCAGCAGAGATGCATAAAAGAAACACTAATTTTCATTTAATGAACTATAACTAGACATTAGCAAACAATTAATATAGAGTAACGAAATATACAGCCCATACAGCTAAATGGAGAAGATTTACGAGAAACAAACACATTCACATATCTGGGAAGCGTGATCAGTAAGGACGGGGGAGCAGACGAGGACATAAAATGCCGTATCAACAAGGTTAGATGTGCCTTCAACTCACTGCGCCCGATGTGGAGGTGCACGGCAGTGCTGCTCTATGGCTCGGAGACTTGGAGGGTTACGAAGACAAATACTGATAGGCTACAGGCATTCGTAAACAAATGCTTACGACACATACTTAAAATAAGATGGCGTACTTTAAAGCAACAGCCAATAGAGACAGATATCAAGGCCCGTAAATGGGGATGGATCGGACACTAAGAAAAGAAACAGAAAACATCGCAAAACATGCTTTGGAATGGAATCCCCAGGGAAAAAGGAGGGTGGGCCGGCCAAGAAAGACATGGAGAAGAACGGTTGAAGAAGAAGCGAAAACAGCTGGGCTCACATGGGCACAGATAAAGGGAGCAGCCCAAAACCGAGTCCGCTGGAGATATGTGGTTGCAGCCCTTTTGCTCCCCAGGGGCCACAAAGGAATGATGATGATGATGATGATGAACGAAATATACGCTTCTTTGGGTGATAATAATTTTAAATGTTTTTACTGTATAATTTAAGAAAATCCTAATGTTGAAATGACATTTGTTTTTTTTTGTTTGTATGTCTCTGTTTATTATATCCTAATGAACGAAACAGCGAAGATAACGCATGCGTGTTGCTGTTCTTGTGTCGAGGGCATCTCCAGGTCTTATGTCGAGGTCACCTGATCATCTGCTCTAGATCTGCTTACAGTAGCAGCTGGTGGGCAAGTACCTGGTGAAGAAGTAGATGGTGCTCCAGAACTTGGTGTAGCAGACGGCAGCAAATTTGACGAAGTTGTATCGTCTCTGGCACTGCCCCACGTAGAAGCAGTCTTTGCAGAATATTCCACATTTCCTGAGAGAAACGGAGAGAGTATCAGAAATAGGGCAGGTAAGTAGGTCACCAACCAGTACTACGGCTCAATAAAACCTGCATGAGCCATAGAACTAGTTACCAGCCCTATAACAAACTATTCAACCAGTACTTGTTTCGTCTGATTTTTACATGAACTTACTATACAAAGTTACAGTTGCTAAAATAACAACTTACCCACAGTTGTTGAAATAACAACTTACCAGCAGTTGTTGAAATAACAACTTACCCACAGTTGCTGAAATAACAACTTACCCACAGTTGCTGAAATAACAACTTACCAACAGTTGCTGAACTAACAACTTACCAGCAGTTGCAGTTGGCGATGGAGATTCTCTGTAGTGGACAGCACCAAGTTAGCAGGCCGTTGACGGGATAATAAAAACACGGCATGATGGTGTTGGTACTGCGGCAGCCATAGTTCTGGGAGGCGGGGCAACACCTGGAAGTGGGCGGAGTCAGACGTTTAAACATGTGCATTGAATCCCCTGCTTGCATGTTTGGCTACACACTGAGATAATACTGGGAGCTACACACTGAGATAATACTGGGAGCTACACACTGAGATAATACTGGGAGCTACACACTGAGATAATACTGGGAGCTACACACTGAGATAATACTGGGAGCTACACACTGAGATAATACTGGGAGCTACACACTGAGATAATACTGGGAGCTACACACTGAGATAATACTGGGAGCTACACACTGTGACGACATCTCTACAACTATCCACCAAACACCAACTATACCTAGAGTGTTTTCATTAACATTAAAAAAAAAAAGACCCAAAAAGCTATGTATGGGCAGTTATAAATTTACAGGCGGGGTTGGGGGGGGGGGGGGGGTGGGTAGGTGGGGATCAAACCATTCAGGGAATTTAATCAGAGTTTTGCCGACTTTAGTTTTTAAAGAAACTTTAGTTTAATAAAGTTTATCTCAAACAATTAATTGCTTATAACACACTTGACTATAAAACAAAGTAAAAAAAAAACCTTATTGAAGTGATTGACGTACTTTTTGAAATCAATCGGTGACCAGTCGACAAATGTCAGGTACCTGACATACAGGTTCACATCTGCCAGCTGTGTACTTCCGGTGCTTCCCGTGTCATTCTGACATCCAGATACCGGTTCCACAATGGAGCCAATGGTGCCAGCTCTGACCCCGTCAGCATACATCTTGGCTACCTGTACATGTTTCGATTTAAAAATAGAAAAAAAATTCAGTTCAATTTACAAAAACAGAATGATATAAAACAGATTGTCGTATGTTTAAAAAATGTTTTAAAAAGTAATTGGAATTAAAAAAAACCCAGGAGGATTTAATTTTTTTCCCTTCTAAATGTTGTTATGCGCATAATGATGAGAAAGGCTTGGGGTGGGGGGTGGGGGGTTGGAGAGAAGGACATTGAAAGGGGGTTAGGTTTGAGGAAAAGTTAAAATTTTGGATTAGCAACTGTAGAAAACTGTTTATCAAGCTCTTCGCTAGACGAGAGGAAAATACCATTAAAAACAACAACAGGCTAGCTAAAACTTTACACCAAAACCGAAATTCTTGAGACGATGTAGCTCTAATACACGAACAATTGTGATCTAACATCCATGCAGATTATATCTAATCCTGATTCCTTTTGGTGGTCTAAAAAATCTTACCGCGGTCTAAAAAAATCTTACCGTGGTCTAAAAAATTCTTACCCGGTTCTAAAAAAATTCTGACCGTGTACTGAAAAAAAAAATCTTACCATGGTCTAAAAAAATGTTACCGTGGTCTAAAAAAAAATGTTACCATGGTCTGAGAAAAAAATCTTACCGTGGTCTAAAAAAAATCTTACCGTGGTCTAAAAAAAATCTTACCGTGGTTTAAAAAGAAATCTTACCGTAGCCTGAACAGGGTTCCTCGCAGGCCGGGCAGCGCTTGATGTTATACCCTGATCAAAGTCGTCGTCTTTCTTTTGCACAAACTCTACTTCATTCACAGAAATAGGCTCAAGTTGATTACAGTCAGCTAGATGAAAACAAAAATATGTAAACCGCGCCGATAACGGCTGGATATTCCACGAATTTTAGGACACATTTTGACAAACATTCCACGAATTTTAAGACACATTTTGACAAACATTCCACGAATTTTATGACACATTTTGAGAAACATTCCACGAATTTTAGGACATTCTAAACCAAATTTTGACAAACATTCCACGAATTTTAGGACATCCTAAACCAAATTTTGACAAACATTCCACGAATTTTAGGACATCCTAAACCTAATTTTGACAAACATTCCACGAATTTGAGGACATCCTAAACCAAATTTTGACAAATATTCCACGAATTTTAGGACGTTCTAAACCAAATTTTGACAAATATTAGCTCAACATTTTCTTTTACCTTTTGGGGTAGATAATTAGTCATTAATTAATTCTTCTAACTACTTGAGTCTCGACACAGGCAATGCAACATATAACAAAAAAAGCGCATTTCAATTTTTTAAAACAAACACTTACTCGGCAAAATTTGAGTTGCCGTCTGCTTCAGCAAGACCATGACTAAGATGACAATTGATCTACGCATTGTGGAGTCGTCGGAGTTTTAGATCAATCTACCTGTTGCACTGCTTGCCTAATGAATTGACTAGGCTGATTGGGTTGTTTAATGCACTTTCTCTTCTGATATATACCCGACTTTCAACCAATCAGAAAACGCGTTACAAGGGATACTCGTTTTACAGTTAATTTGTTTCGACGTACGTCAAAGAAAACCATTGGTCGAGATGAGGTGGACGGAATGACTAAACAACCCCCCCCCCCCCTACCCCGGAAGTAATGACCTTGCTAACATCCCTAGTGACGAACCCATGTTGCGATGACATCTTTGTAAACACCTTCTGATTGATAAAGTAGTTTTAAACCCCCCAACCTGACAACCCTATTGTCTCACCCCCCTTACATATTTCACCCCTCTCCCCAAAGAGATACCCTCTCCACACCTTCCAACATCTCCAACTATATGTCAAGTTGCACGGGAGTACTTAGGGAGGGACGGGCCATCACGTGACGTGGGCGTGGCTTTACCCACATGGGGGCTTGATCGATCTGAGCACGCAATCGTCATCCATAAACGGCGGCCCATACCCACACCCACACCTACACCTACACCCACACCCACCCACACACACACACACACACACTCACACCCACACACACCCACACACACTCACACCCACACCCACACCTACACCTACACCCACACCCACACCTACACCCACACCCACACCCACACCCACCCACCCACCCACCCCCACACACACTCACACCCACACACCCACACCCACCCACACCCACACATTCACACCCACACCCACACCCACACCCACACCCACACACAACTACACCCACACCCACACCCACACCCACACCCACCCACACCCACACCCACACCAACACACCTACACCTACACCCACACCCACACCCACACCCACACCCACACCCACCCACACAAATCCACACACTCACACCCACACCCACACACACCCACACCCACCCACACCCACATCCACATCCACATCCACATCCACATCCACATCCACATCCACATCCACATCCACACCAAAACACCTACACCTACACCTACACCTACACCTACACCTACACCTACACCTACACCTACACCTACACCTACACCCACACCCACACCCACACCCACACCCACACCTACACCTACACCTACACCTACACCTACACCTACGCCTACACCTACACCTACACCTACACCCACACCCACACCCACACCCACACCCACACCCACACCCACACACCCACACCCACACCCATTCTCACAACTACACTCACACCGGAAGTGGTACTTAATATATTTCCGGTTTCTCACAAATCTTCAGAATTTGAAGCATATTGAAAGACATTATTACTTCTACGTGTTCTTAAAAAAACAACAACTAATGTTTGTTACACGTATCTACAATACATCTATAGCCCAATTTTACTGGATGTACTACCCCAACCCATACTGTTATAAAATTTACCAGAAAGTTGAGGGGAGATCACTCACGTTTTATGTGATTTATTTAACAAAGCACTGACGACATCTAACAAACAATTACGTAATTCATTAAACTGTATGGTTATTATAAAACAAGTAAATTTTAGTAGTCTTATTGGGCAAGCTACAATTGATTTCATCTTATATTTTTTTTTCATGGACATTGATTGAATGTATTGAGATCAAACATTGAAACAACGTGTGTCGTAGCTGATCGTCTAAACAGGAGATTAGCTGACCGTCTAAATGTAACATCAGCTGGCCGTCTAGTGCTAACATCAGCTGGCCGTTTAAAGTTAACATCAGTTGGCCGTCTGAACATGCATCAGCGGGCCGTCTAAAGTTAACATCAGTTGGCCGTCTAAAGTTAACATCAATTTGCCGTCTAAACCTAGCATTGACTGGCCGTCTAAAGTTAACATCAGCTGGCTATCTAAACCTAACATCAGCTGGCCGTCTAAACATTTCATCAGTTGGCCGTCTAAACTTAGCATTAGCTAGCCGTCTATACCTAAGAATATCTGTGTAGCTACACATTACGTAATACTTCGATCGTCTTTTTGAACTGAGAACAACCTTATAGTCCTGGGGTATGAGTTATCGACCTTTAACATTACCTTATATGGAAATTGAAGTGTAATATAAATGTCGTTTGATCATAACTGGATTAGCCCTTTGTTGTCTGCTTACTTGATTGTAAACAAGACAAACAAGAAGTTACCTCCCCTGCGGTTTGTGATCTAGCTAGACAGAATGTTACCTCCCCTGGTGATTGTGATTTAGCTAGATAGAATGTTAACTGCCCTAAACAAGGTATAAAATATCTGCTTTGTTGTATACTTTGGAAACAAACAGTCAATAAATGAAAGAAGAAAAAAAATTGAACAACAGGCTATTAAACAGCGCACATTTTTAAATTAAAAAAAAAGAATTTTCAATAAATTTAAAAGCTTATTATTACAAGGTTCTTAAAAATATTTTATTTTCTCCTTCATTCTTTCGGGTCACTGGAAATACTAGGTTGAGTTGACATATCGCCAACAAACACAAGTTATAGCCGTTTTAAAAACCCAAGTTGTGAAATTCCACTTTTCGAAATTTCTAGTTTCAAACCATCTCCTTTAAGGAGTGTTTCGTGTCTACCTGTTTCCCTGTTGGGTGCCCTCCATCGTCTGTCTAGTGGTGCCATTAAATGTCTCAGTGAATGTCAACTGCCCCAGTCTAGTGGTGCCATTAAATGTCTCAGTGAATGTCAACTGCACCGGTCTAGTGGTGCCATTAAATGTCTCAGTGAATGTCAACTGCACCGGTCTAGTGGTGCCATTAAATGTCTCAGTGAATGTCAACTGCACCGGTCTAGTGGTGCCATTAAATGTCTCAGTGAATGTCAACTGCACCGGTCTAGTGGTGCCATTAAATGTCTCAGTGAATGTCAACTGCACCGGTCTAGTGGTGCCATTAAATGTCTCAGTGAATGTCAACTGCACCGGTCTAGTGGTGCCATTAAATGTCTCAGTGAATGTCAACTGCACCGGTCTAGTGGTGCCATTAAATGTCTCAGTGAATGTCAACTGCACCGGTCTAGTGGTGCCATTAAATGTCTCAGTGAATGTCAACTGCCCCAGTCTAGTGGTGCCATTAAATGTCTCAGTGAATGTCAACTGCACCGGTCTAGTGGTGCCATTAAATGTCTCAGTGAATGTCAACTGCACCGGTCTAGTGGTGCCATTAAATGTCTCAGTGAATGTCAACTGCCCCAGTCTAGTGGTGCCATTAAATGTCTCAGTGAATGTCAACTGCACCGGTCTAGTGGTGCCATTAAATGTCTCAGTGAATGTCAACTGCACCGGTCTAGTGGTGCCATTAAATGTCTCAGTGAATGTCAACTGCACCGGTCTAGTGGTGCCATTAAATGTCTCAGTGAATGTCAACTGCACCGGTCTAGTGGTGCCATTAAATGTCTCAGTGAATGTCAACTGCACCGGTCTAGTGGTGCCATTAAATGTCTCAGTGAATGTCAACTGCACCGGTCTAGTGGTGCCATTAAATGTCTCAGTGAATGTCAACTGCCCCAGTCTAGTGGTGCCATTAAATGTCTCAGTGAATGTCAACTGCACCGGTCTAGTGGTGCCATTAAATGTCTCAGTGAATGTCAACTGCACCGGTCTAGTGGTGCCATTAAATGTCTCAGTGAATGTCAACTGCACCGGTCTAGTGGTGCCATTAAATGTCTCAGTGCATGTCAACTGCACCGGTCTAGTGGTGCCATTAAATGTCTCAGTGAGTGTCAGGTCCACCCCTACTTCCATGTACCCCTCTGGTGCTTGTCTGTATACCCTCTGAAGCTAGGTTAGAAATTTTCTTTAGCCACAGCAGTTTCAAGATGTGTCTTAGAGACGTGAACGTGTGCGTGTGCGTGTACGTGTACGTGTTCGTGTACGTGTACGTGTACGTGTACGTGTACGTGTACGTGTACGTGTACGTGTACGTGTACGTGTACGTGTACGTGTACCTGTGTTCTTGTGTACCTGTGTAAGTGTGTACCTGTGTTTGTGTATACCTGTGTTCTTATGTTCCTGTGTACATGTGTACCTGTGTACATATGTAATGTGTACATATGTACTGTGTACATATGTATTGTGTACATATGTACTGTGTACATATGTATTGTGTACATATGCACTGTGTATGTGTGTATCTGTGTACATGTGTACCTGTGTACATATGTACTGTGTACATGTGTTCTTTTGTACCTGTGTATCTGTGTACCTGTTTTCTTGTGTACATGTGTACGTGTGTATATGTGTATGTGTGTACTTGAAGGTACATGTTTGTAAAAACAATTTCAATGTTCTTTTTTTATTGCAGCTGTAATTTTCCCTTTCCAACTTTTAAAAATCCACACCTATTCCTCATCACAGTTGATATTCGATGAAGTGATATCAAAACAGAAACAATAATTAATTCAAGAAGTTTTAATGAAAACAATCATAACATCAACAGTGTCATAACAACATCAAAGTTGTATTAGTGATAACCACAGAAACCTTAGGCCACTTTTATAGAACACCTTTCATTCAAGTTGCAAACGTCTGGATTAAGACCTCAGTGATGAAGACACACTTAATTAAGACAGTCTACGTAAGTAAGTTACCGCAATGAAATGATATATGGCATGCATGTTGATCAATAACAATTTTCACTCAGTATCAACAATGTAAATATAAACTGTGTGGCTTATTATTTCAGAAACTTAGAGACATCAAATACAAGGGAATAAATATCATTGAATAATATTTTTTCTACAAAATTTACTATAATCTGAACACGAGGGCTTTGGAAATTTTAAAAATACTCAGTTTATCAAATTTTTAATGAATTGTGAAATGTTCGATCACAAAAAAAAGCCAGTGAGTTTTTCTACTCTAAAAGTTGCCAGAAAAATATGTCAGTTGAATACATTTCAAATCGTCTGCTCCTAGACCTGCCTACAGTAGCAGCTGGTGGGCAGGTACCTGGCGAAATGGAGGATGGTCCCCCACCACTTGACGTAGCAGACGGCAGCAAAGTGGGTGTAGCTGTAGCGTCTCTGGCACTGGCCGGTGTAGAAACAGTCTTTGTAAAACACGGCGCACTTCCTGGAAGGAACGAAACGAAATGGTGTAATTATTTTTATAAATCTTGATGGGAGTTGATTTTAATTGTCAGTTTTTTGTGTCTTTTTAAAGGGATAATAATCAAAGTTTCTTCTTTTAACAGTCTCCGTTTCCCTCTTCCCCCGGAAATTTTAGTCCGCCCCCCCCCCCCCCCCCCCCAATTTCAAGTGCCCCCGCCCCTCGGAGTAAAAAGTCTGGAAGAAACACTGATAATAATATTTACAGTAGTTTTAAAATTGGTGTATTTTTATTATTTTATTGTCCTGAGAGTTGTACAAGAGATTTGAAGAATTGTAAGGTGAAATAAATAAGGCGGGCACGTAAAACCAGAGGGGTTATTTTAGGGGAGTTGTTGGATACATTCTCCAAGTAAAAATAAAAACAAATGAAGTGAAGACTCGAATCTTGGCTTCCGGTGAGGGCAAGTGACGTCACTAAAACAGTTATTTCCTGTCAAATAATTAAATGAGATCCGCGACGTTTTGACTGTGCATTTACAGTTTATATCACCCCAACAGAATGTCCATTCCCCTGTAGCGACGCCTTTATTGTCGCCCCAGTTTTCTCCCAACTTTGTGACGCCCTGATTGTCCCCCCCCCCCCCCATAGTGACGCAATGATTGTCTCTCCCCCCAATGACGTTCTGCATGATTGTCTCCCCCCTAGTGACGCCTTGATTGTTTCTCAACACCTTAATTTTCTCCGCAGTTGCAGAATAACAACTTACCCGCAGTTACAGTTGCTGAAATAACAACTTACCCACAGTTGTTGAAATAACAACTTACCCGCAGTTGTTGAAATACCAACTTACCCACAGTTGTTGAAATAACAACTTACCCACAGTTGTTGAAATAACAACTTACCCGCAGTTGTTGAAATAACAACTTACCCGCAGTTACAGTTGCTGACTGCAATCTTCTGTAGGGGGCAGCACCAAGCGAACATGCCATTGTAGTAGGTCGTAAAACACGGTAAAGGTTTCCTCACACTGCGGCAGCCATAGTTCTGGGAGGCGGGGCAGCACCTGAAAGTGGGCGGAGCATGCTTTGATCACCGACCTATGCGAACCTGATAACTCTATCCCAGGGGCATGACCGTTTTAATTATAAGTTTAAAGAGAGGAAGAGGTGAGTTTGGGGTGAAAGGGGTCAAAAGTTTTTACAAGCAAGTGAAAAAGTTCTTTTTAAAGATCAGAACAAATTATTAAAAACTCTCCCAACATTGATCCTAAGGACTGCTGGGCATTTTGGCGTGTGGTATTTATTAGGAAAAATAGTAACTACGTTAATTTTTTAAAATATTACAATTGCAAAACACATTGAAAACATATTTAGAAGAGAAAACCATCACACATTAAACTCGAGAATTTCAGGCCAGACGATGTGCGCTCTACCACCCGACCACACGTTGTCACGTGATACACTGACGCTTAAATCAAACAAAAACAACACAGACATCGTGACCGTGGACCTACTTTTTGTAATCCATGTACCAGTCTTGATACAGCAAGTACTGCACATACAGGTTCACTTCCGCCAGCTGGGTGACCTCACTTCCGGTCCTCGCTGTGTCACCTTGACACCCTGATGTCGGTTCCTCCACTGTAGCAATGGTGCCAGCTTTATACTGCTCGTTATACAAACTGGCAACCTGTAGGTTTCAAAAGGTTCAATAAACCTTCTATCATCAACGGAGAACAGAGTTTCTTCCAGGCATCTGGGGGGGGGGGGGGCAAGAAAGTCTACCCCCCCCCCACGAACGACATGGAATTTATATAGAAAACATATACTTTTACCAGTGTCCGTCCTCCCCCCCCCCCCCCCGAAAATATCTGGTGCCCCCCCCTCCCCTCGGAGAAAAAAGTCTGGAAGAAACACTGACGGAGAATTGTAAATCTAAAACATTTTAGTTTTTAAACTTCCAGAAATTTCAATAAAGGGAAGTAAGCGAGAGAAGATTTGGTTACCCTGTCTTGAGACGGCAGCTCCGTAGGCCGGTCAACCCTTGAAAACAAACCCTGGTCAAACTCATTGTCTTTGCTCTCGACTAGCTCTACTTCACCTTCCGAAATCGGCTCCTGTTGACCACCGTCAGCTAAAACAAAGGGAAAAATTATTTAATCTATTTTCAAAACTAGAAAAGATTTATTGCTAAACTAGTAAAAGAAATTCGATTTTGAATAGTTTTCTGGTGTGATTTTATCGCCATTTTAAAAACATGTATTTTATTTTATCTTTGTTATGTAGCTTACAAAATTAGTTTCTAAATGCATGTTATTTAAATATACAAAGACATGAAATTTAAAACATTTTTTTTTAATTTTTTTTTTACAAATTCGCTTACCCGTCGAATTCTGGGCGCTTGTCATTGCAAGCAACACGAGTACCGTGATGCAAAGTGATCTAAACATTGTGGACATGTCGATCTTTTAGATTAGTCTGTCTTGTTCTCAGCTCGTTTGCTATAAACGTATTCTAGACTAGCTGGTTATATACACTACGGCGTAGCGCTGCGATGAATATTAACCAATCAGAACAGTCGTCACATCATATAATTGGCTTCACCGCTTGTTACCTCAATTACAATGGGTTGAAAAGGATCTCGTGTTGATCCGCAGTGGAGCGTGACATCTTCATTAACAAAGTAATGAATGAACCTCTCATTCATGTTTTTAGGTGAAATCGGTCACGATGTGTTGACGATATCGGGCGACGAATGCGGAATGGCGGAAATACCCTGTCGTACTCCACCCCTACTACGTAATTCTACGCCGCCCGTATCCTGTACTGACGGGCTTAATGTAGGTAACATCCGGGTCACGATGCTTTCGTCAACAATTGTGATTAGGCTTCCTAAGGTAACCTACATACATGTGGATTAGATGCAGTCAAGATATTTCACCCCCAGACCTTCATAAGTCTAGCGGTCAACCCAGACCTCCATAAGGGTATAGGTCAAGATATTTCGCCCCAGACCTTCACAAGTCTAGCGGTCAACCCAGACCTTCACAAGTCTAACGGTCAACCCAGACCTTATAAGTCTAGCGGTCAACCCAGACCTTCACAAGTCTAACGGTCAACCCAGCCCTTCACAAGTCTAGCGGTCAACCCAAACTTCACAAGTCTAACGGTCAACCCAGACCTTCACAAGTCTACCGGTCAACCCAGACCTTCACAAGTCTAGCGGTCAACCCAAGCGGTCAAGATTCACTCCTTCGTAAATTGTTAGATAAGAAAGTGCTGCAGTGGTTCCAGTGGTAGAGCGCCCGACTGAATTCCACCTTTCCCGGGTTCAAATCTTGGCATAAATTTGTCACTTTACATGACCTAGATCACAGAAACGTGAACTCTACTTCATCTGTACTATATACTAGTCGTCATAAAGTAGCATACCCAACTTTAAACGGCAATAAAGAAAAGTCCAACATTTCTGAACATTCATTAATTAAAACGAATATTAGCGCGTTTGTAATAATTTTCCGCAAGAATTGTAAAAACAAACTATACCTCACACTGTTTTTGTGTGGGAGGTACACAAACCGTCCCTCACAATCTGTGGGAGGTACATAAACAGTCCCTCACACTTTTTGGTGTGTGAAGTAACTAACAGTCCCTCAGACGCTCTTGGTGTGGGAGGTAACAAACCGCCCCTCACACGCTCGTGGTGTGAGGTTCTAGACAACCCATTGTGAGTAGTTTATCATTAGTATGACACATCTTGATAGTGAATTTAAAAAAAAAAGAACAACAAAACACGAATAAAAAAATATAATTTTGTTTTTAATACAGAGATTTGACTGCAGACTGCTAGTAGAAATACACACATTACTGATAAAAAATAGAGCTTGAATTAGGAGACACTGGTCGGGGGGATGGGGGGGGGGGGACGACGACGACAGAGGGGACAATAGAAAATTGATATTACCACAAAACACCTTCAAGATGTGGACTAAGGGAGGTAAACAATCTTAAAGAATTTTGTTCGCTTTAGTGGGGAAATCGGCTTGAGGGGTAGGGGGCGTTTTTTGTTACTTCATGGTATATAATGTTACCTTTAGTGTGTTTAATGTTAGTTTGTGTATTTTAAAAATAGTGTGTTTAATAGTAGTGTGTGTATTTTAAAATTAGTGTGTTTGTTATGAATGGGTTTAAAATGAGTGTGTTTGGTTAAAAATGAGGGTATTTATTATATTTAGTGCTTTGTTTAATATGAGTGTGTTTCTTTAATATGAGCATGTTAAGTTTACTTTTATTTTTTTAGTGTTTCTTTAATGCAGCTACCATTTGTATTTATATTTATTGTATGTTTTTTTAGCAGTAAAGTATAAAAGTTTAGTTAGATTACATTGTTTAACTTTCGGTGACAGAGTTTAGCATTAGGTTACACAGTTGAACATTCAGGTGTTTAGGTCAACCTGTGATCTACTTCTCTAGACATCCCAGGTCACAGTAGCATCTTGACGGCAGGTATTTCTTAAACTTGAGGATGTAGCCCCACCAAGTGTCGTAGCAGACGGCAGTGAAGGTCTGTAGCCTGTACACCCTGCGGCAGGTTCCTGTGTAAACACAATCCTCCTTCAGGACTGAACATTTGCTGGAAGGGAAAAATACAAGTTTTAACTGCGGCAGGTTCCTGTGTAAACACAGCATTTCGTGGTAAATAAAGACTATAGTCAAATATTTACTAGACCTAAACCTCAAAAACGATAGTCGAATTCATAACATTCATAATAACTTAAGAAAATAATAATACAGAATTTACTAAAAAAAATGGAGATAATGTTATTGCAACACAATGTAATAAAAACTTTAAAAAAATTTCAATATTTTTACTTCTTTCATGTTTAAATCAGTTTTCGAAAAAATAAATTCATAAAAACGTTTTAATAACAAACTTTTATGTAATAATGCACTAAAAAGTAGAAAATAAATTCTACACTACTATTTAAATAACCATAAAGAAAAGCGTGGGTCACTTTAGTATTTTTTGGATACTTTTACTAATATTTAAGAAGAGACCCACTACGAACAGCATCTTGCAGTTAGAAGTGCCCGTAATTTCACTCGGGCGTTTCGATCAAGACTGACGACAGACTGACGGACAGACAGAGGAAGTGAGTTAAATAAAAGCTTGTAAAAAACCTTTAGCTAATTGTATAGGTTAGGTAGTTAACCATTCAGAACTAACTTTTCTCATGGTAGTTTCAAGGACAGAGGAACTAGAGTTCATCTGTTTTTGTGATCTGGGCATGTAATGTGATTATTTTGATGCCAAATATCCTTTACTTTTCCTAACGTAAACCAGCTTTACCGAATCGACCACGCCGATCCCTAATAGTTGGACATGTGCCGTGAGATTTGTTGGACATATGCCGTGTTGTTAGTTGGAAATGTGCCGTGTTGTTAGTTGGACATGTGCCGTGATGTTAGTTGGACATGTGCCGTGCTGTTAGTTGGACATGTGCCGTGAGATTTGTTGGACCCGTGTCATGAGACTTGTGAGACAAGTACCCTCCGAAGAAAACGACTTACCTACAGTTACAGTTGGCGATGGGGATTTTCCCAATGGGGCAGCACCAGACTTTTGACTTCTTGTAGTAGGTACTGAAGCAGGGCATGTAGGTCAGCACTCCGTTCTGGCACTGGTATTTCTGGGTTGCCGGACAGCAGCTAAACGGTAGGGAGATTTTGTTTACTATATGCCGGACAGCAGCTAAACGGAAGGGAGATTTTGTTTACTATATGCCGGACAGCAGCTAAACGGTAGGGAGATTTTGTTTACTATATGCCGGACAGCAGCTAAACGGTAAGGAGATTTTGTTTACTATATGCCGGACAGCAGCTAAACGGTAGGGAGATTTTGTTTACTAGATTGTTTACATTGTCTCTTTGTTGGGGATTGACTTGTTTTATACAGGGGCGAAGATTGTTGGTTTATAAATGTGTAGTCCCTGTAACAGTCGCGACTTAATATTTAGAGTCAAAATAGAAGTCGCTACTCAGTATTTTTAATCACTGTACCACTCGCTACTCACAATTTATAGTCCTTATACAGTCGCTACTCACTATTTATAGCCTTGTACCACTCGCTACATACAATTTATAGTTCTTGTACCAGTGGCTACTCACAATTTATATTCCTTGTACCAGTCACTACTCACAATTTATAGTCACTGTACCAGTCGCTACTCACAATTTATAGTCCTTGTACGCTACTCACAATTTATAGTCCTTGTACCACTCGCTACTCACAATTTATAGTCATTGTACGCTACTCACAATTTATAGTCCTTGTACCACTCGCTACTCACAATTTATAGTCATTGTACGCTACTCACAATTTATAGTCCTTGTACCAGTGGCTACTCACAATTTATAGTCCTTGTACCATTCTGTGTACTGCAGAAACTGCCAGTACACACTCTCGTCTGCCGGCAGCGTGAGGTCACCCACTGTGCCGTCATCACTAGCCGGACAGCCGGAGACCGGATCAGCTACCGTATCTATGGTGCCTTTTTCGTACTGCTGGGTGTAGAGTCTCTTGACCTGGAATGTATGGTTGTGTCACGTGATGTCAATGTCAAACTGTCACGTGATGTCAGTGTCAAACTGTCACGTGATGTCAGTGTCAAACTGTCACGTGATGTCAGTGTCAACTGTGACGTGATGTCAGTGTCAAACTGTCACGTGATGTCAGTGTCAAACTGTCACTTGATGTCAGTGTCAAACTTGACTAGATAGATTTTAAATAGTAAGACTGTAAATAGTAAGACTGTAAATAGAGAGACTGTAAATAGAGAGACTGTAAATAGAGAGACTGCAAATAGTGAGACTGTAAACAGTGAAACTGTAAATAGTGAGACAGTAAATAGAGAGACTATAAATAGAGAGACTGTAAATAGTGAGACTGTAAAAGTGAAACTGTAAATAGTAAGACTGTATATAAAGAGGCTGTAAATAGCAAGACTAAATAATGAGACTTAAATAGTCTGTAAATAGTGAGACTGTAAATAAACTGTAAATAGACAGTAAATAGTGAGAATGTAAATATATTGTAAATAGTGAGAATGTAAATATAGACTGTAAATAGAGACACTGTAAATAGTGCGATTGTAAATAGTGAGATTTTAAATAGTGAGACTGTAAATAAAGAGACTGCAAATAGTGAGACTTTATATGGTGAGACTGTAAATAGACTGTAAATAGTGAGACTGTAAATAGTAAGACTGTAAATAGTGAAACTGAAAATAGTGAGACTGTAAATAGACTGCAAATAGTGAGACTGTAAATATATTGTAAATAGTGAGACTGTACTTAGTAAGACTTTAAATAGTGAGACTGTAAATAGAGAGACTGTAAATAGAGAGACTGTAAATAGTGAGACTGTAAACAGTGAGACTGTAAATAGAAAGCACGAAAACAGAGAGAATCTACTTCATCTTCGTTCGGCTGTTCACGTGGTTGGTCGTCCTTCGGTGTAATCGAATTATCGAAGTCGGAGTCGGCTTTCTCCCCCAGAACAACCTCTCCGTCTGCCAGGAGGTCATCGGCTGGGGAGATACATACTTTGATAAGCTTGACAAGCTGGTTCCAAATAGGTGGTGCCAGGAAACATATTTTTCAACCGAAATTGAATATTTTATAACATTTGTGAAATAAATACAAAATGACTTCGGTTTTACTAAGGCTAGATATATTCAAAAAAATAATTACTGGTAATGTAAACGGCTTTTCAAGGGCTCATATTCATTACAAAAATATGAAAACGATTTTAATCGATGTTTCCCAAACGGTTTTAATTTTTAAAAATTCGACTATAGTTGCATCGCTTGCCACAGTTTTTTTTAAAGAATTTGTTTTTTAAATATACTATTATAACAAAGACTTTTCAAGCATAGTGTCGTGGACCAGTGGCGTAGCGAGGTCGGGTGTCACCCGGTGCGGCACTTAATGGTGTCACCCCCCCCCCCCCCCAGAGGCATAGAGACCCTTCCCAGGGACAAACTTTCAAATTTTCGATTTGCACCCCCCCTCAAGTTTTCGATTTGCACCCCCCCTCGAGTTTTTCTCTATATATTTTGCTATTTTTTGCCTTGGTGTCACCCCCCTAAATGGTGTCACCCGGTGCGGTCCGCACCCCCCGCCCCCCCCCCCCTCGCTACGCCCCTGTCGTGGACTTTTAACTTCAAGAAACACAACATTTTAAATGAAAAAAAAAAAGACGTATGAGATTTTTTAAATTAAGGTCATGGACTTTTTAATTTTAAAATCGCAAACTTTTAGAAATTAGAAACATGGAATTTTTAGAGTAGAACTTGGGAATTTTAGAGTTGACAATCGCGCGTTCTGCCAATTATCTGGGGAAAATGATATTTAGATGAGCTTAAAATGGACTTAAAATGAGCTTAAAATGAGCTCAAGATAATCGCCAAATTAGCAAATGATAGGTATAAGAGAGGCGCTAAATTAGCGCTAGATGATCACAGCAAATGTCTTAACTTACGAGTGAAATCTTGGCAAATGTCTCAACTTACGAGTGAAATCTTGGCAAATGTCTCAACTTACGAATGAAATATTGGCAAATGTCTTAACTTACGAGTAAAATCTTGGCAAATGTCTCAACTTACGAGTGAAATCTTGGCAAATGTCTCAACTTACGAGTGAAATCTTGGCAAATGTCTCAACTTACGAGTGAAATCTTGGCAAATGTCTCAACTTACGAATGAAATATTGGCAAATGTCTCAACTTACGAATGAAATATTGGCAAATGTCTCAACTTACGAATGAAATTTTGGCAAATGTCTCAACTTACGAATGAAATATTGGCAAATGTCTCAACTTACGAGTGAAATCTTGGCAAATGTCTCAACTTACGAGTGAAATCTTGGCAAATGTCTCAACTTACGAGTGAAATCTTGGCAAATGTCTCAACTTACGAGTGAAATCTTGGCAAATGTCTCAACTTACGAGTGAAATCTTGGCAAATGTCTCAACTTACGAGTGAAATCTTGGCAAATGTCTCAACTTACGAGTGAAATCTTGGCAAATGTCTCAACTTACGAGTGAAATCTTGGCAAATGTCTCAACTTACGAGTGAAATCTTGGCAAATGTCTCAACTTACGAGTGAAATCTTGGCAAATGTCTCAACTTACGAGTGAAATCTTGGCAAATGTCTCAACTTACGAATGAAATCTTGGCAAATGTCTCAACTTACGAAAAAAGTTTTGGCAAATGTCTCAACTTACGAGTGAAATCTTGGCAAATGTCTCAACTTACGAGTGAAATCTTGGCAAATGTCTCAACTTACGAGTGAAATCTTGGCAAATGTCTCAACTTACGAGTGAAATCTTGGCAAATGTCTCAACTTACGAATGAAATCTTGGCAAATGTCTCAACTTACGAAAAAAGTTTTGGCAAATGTCTCAACTTACGAGTGAAATCTTGGCAAATGTCTCAACTTACGAGTGAAATCTTGGCAAATGTCTCAAATTACGAGTGAAATCTTGGCAAATGTCTCAACTTACGAATGTAATCTTGGCAAATGTCTCAACTTACGAATGAAATCTTGGCAAATGTCTCAACTTATGAATGAAATATTGGCAAATGTCTCAACTTACGAGTGAAATCTTGGCAAATGTCTCAACTTACGAATGAAATATTGGCAAATGTCTCAACTTACGAATGAAATATTGGCAAATGTCTCAACTTACGAATGAAATCTTGGCAAATGTCTCAACTTACGAATGAAATCTTGGCAAATGTCTCAACTTATGAATGAAATCTTGGCAAATGTCTCAACTTACGAGTGAAATCTTGGCAAATGTCTCAACTTACGAGTGAAATCTTGGCAAATGTCTCAACTTACGAATGAAATATTGGCAAATGTCTCAACTTACGAATGAAATATTGGCAAATGTCTCAACTTACGAATGAAATCTTGGCAAATGTCTCAACTTACGAGTGAAATCTTGGCAAATGTCTCAACTTACGAGTGAAATCTTGGCAAATGTCTCAACTTACGAGTGAAATCTTGGCAAATGTCTCAACTTACGAGTGAAATCTTGGCAAATGTCTCAACTTACGAATGAAATCTTGGCAAATGTCTCAACTTACGAATGAAATATTGGCAAATGTCTCAACTTACGAATGAAATATTGGCAAATGTCTCAACTTACGAATGAAATATTGGCAAATGTCTCAACTTACGAGTGAAATCTTGGCAAATGTCTCAACTTACGAGTTAAATCTTGGCAAATGTCTCAACTTACGAGTGAAATATTGGCAAATGTCTCAACTTACGAATGAAATATTGGCAAATGTCTCAACTTACAAATGAAATCTTGGCAAATGTCTCAACTTACGAGTGAAATCTCGGCAAATGTCTCAACTTATGAATGAAATATTGGCAAATGTCTCAACTTACGAATGAAATCTTGGCAAATGTCTCAACTTACGAATGAAATATTGGCAAATGTCTCAACTTACGAAAATTTTTTTGGCAAATGTCTCAACTTACGAATAAAATCTTGGCAAATGTCTCAACTTACGAATAAAATTTTGGCAAATGTCTCAACTTACGAATAAAATTTTGGCAAATGTCTCAACTTACGAATAAAATTTTGGCAAATGTCTCAACTTACGAGTGAAATCTTGGCAAATGTCTCAACTTACGAATGAAATCTTGGCAAATGTCTCAACTTACGAGTGAAATCTTGGCAAATGTCTCAACTTACGAATGTAATCTTGGCAAATGTCTCAACTTACGAGTGAAATCTTGGCAAATGTCTCAACTTACGAGTGAAATCTTGGCAAATGTCTCAACTTACGAATGAAATATTGGCAAATGTCTCAACTTACGAATGAAATATTGGCAAATGTCTCAACTTACGAATGAAATCTTGGCAAATGTCTCAACTTACGAGTGAAATCTTGGCAAATGTCTTAACTTACGAGTGAAATCTTGGCAAATGTCTCAACTTACGAATGAAATCTTGGCAAATGTCTCAACTTACGAATGAAATATTGGCAAATGTCTCAACTTACGAAAAAAGTTTTGGCAAATGTCTCAACTTACGAATAAAATTTTGGCAAATGTCTCAACTTACGAATAAAATTTTGGCAAATGTCTCAACTTACGAATAAAATTTTGGCAAATGTCTCAACTTACGAATACAATTTTGGCAAATGTCTCAACTTACGAATAAAATTTTGGCAAATGTCTCAACTTACGAGTGAAATCTTGGGCTGCTACAAGGCCACTGGTCCATAGCAAGAGTGCCAAGACGCCAAGTGATTTAATCATTTTGAACTAGTTTGTCTTTTAGATCAGTCTAACTTTAACTCAAGCGCAAGGTTCGCATGACCACCAAGAAGTGCTGTTTTATATACTTTCTACTTTCATCAGTTGGGTCAAGCTTGACGAATTTGAACCAATCAGAAAACATCTTAAATGAAATAATTTATTTTATACCACCAAAAATGTACATGAGATAAAATAAAAGTCTAAGGCATGTGTTAGGTAGACCATGAAACTATCGTTAAGAAAATAATGTTCTACATACCCCCCCCCCCCCCCCGATGTTTGAAATGTATTCATTAATTCAATCAGATATAATTTTGTTGTCTTTTTCATTCTGTGTAGAAAGTTGTTTTGAAACTGGTAATACTGGATAATTGCAGCATTCTATAAACAGAACAATCTTACAATCGTGTCTATTTTTAGACATGTCAAGGTCGTGCTAGTAAGTATGTATGTATAAGTATGTATAGATGAGAGGAAGTTTTTTTGGAAGTGTTTTAGTACAGTGGGGTAAAAAGTACCCACAGTAGAGGAGCTTAACTTAAGTACAGCTCTACAGCTCTTAATCTAAAGCTCTAATGTAGCCATGACCTACAGCTCTGTCCATTTCAGTGTCTATGTCCATGTAAACGACATGTCAAATCTCGAAGTAGAAGTAGTTTACGTTTACGTTTACGTGTACGTGTACGTGTACGTTTACGTTTACGTGTACGTTTACGTTTACGTTTACGTTTACGTTTACGTTTACGTTTACGTTTACGTTTACGTTTACGTTTACGTTTACGTTTACGTTTACGTTTACGTTTACGTTTACATTTACATTTACGTTTACGTTTACGTTTACGTTTACGTTTACGTTTACGTTTACGTTTACGTTTACGTTTACGGTTACGTTTACGTTTACGTTTACGTTTACGTTTACGTTTACGTTTACGTTTACGTTTACGTTTACGTTTACGTTTACGTTTACGTTTACGTTTACGTTTACGTTTAGGCTGATGCTGATGCTTATGTCTTATGCTTATACGTGTCGCTTATCCTTAAGCTTTGTTTATGCTTATTGTTATATCTAAGTGCACATCTTCGTCCGTGTCCACGGTTGAGGGCATATCCTTGTATTAAAGTGCTTGTCTATCAAAATATTTCTACAGGTGTGATGGGTTATTTGGTCTAAACATTTCTACAGGTGTACACGGTTATTTGGTCTAAACATTTCTACAGGTGTACATGGTTATTTGGTCTAAACATTTCTACAGGTGTACAGGGTTATTTGGTCTAAACATTTCTATAGGTGTACATGGTTATTTGGTCTAAAAATTTCTACAGGTGTACAGGGTTATTTGGTCTAAACATTTCTACAGGTGTACATGGTTATTTGGTCTAAACATTTCTACAGGTGTACATGGTTATTTGGTCTAAACATTTCTACAGGTGTACAAGGTTATTTGGTCTAAACATTTCTACAGGTGTACAGGGTTATTTGGTCTAAACATTTCTACAGGTGTACAAGGTTATTTGGTCTAAACATTTCTACAGGTGTACAGGGTTATTTGGTTTAACATTTCTACAGGTGTACATGGTTATTTGGTCTAAACATTTCTACAGGTGTACAAGGTTATTTGGTCTAAACATTTCTACAGGTGTACAGGGTTATTTGGTCTAAACATTTCTACAGGTGTACAGGGTTATTTGGTCTAAACATTTCTACAGGTGTACATGGTTATTTGGTCTAAACATTTCTACAGGTGTACAGATCTGGTCTAAACATTTCTACATGTGTACAAGGTTATTTGGTCTAAACATTTCTACAGGTGTACAAGGTTATTTGGTCTAAACATTTCTACAGGTGTACATGGTTATTTGGTCTAAACATTTCTACAGGTGTACATGGTTATTTGGTCTAAACATTTCTACAGGTGTACAGATCTGGTCTAAACATTTCTACAGGTGTACATGGTTATTTGGTCTAAACATTTCTACAGGTGTACATGGTTATTTGGTCTAAACATTTCTACAGGTGTACAGGGTTATTTGGTCTAAACATTTCTACAGGTGTACAGATCTGGTCTAAACATTTCTACAGGTGTACATGGTTATTTGGTCTAAACATTTCTACAGGTGTACATGGTTATTTGGTCTAAACATTTCTACAGGTGTACAGATCTGGTCTAAACATTTCTACAGGTGTACAGATCTGGTCTAAACATTTCTACAGGTGTACAGGGTTATTTGGTCTAAACATTTCTACAGGTGTACAAGGTTATTTGGTCTAAACATTTCTACAGGTGTACAGGGTTATTTGGTCTAAACATTTCTACAGGTGTACAAGGTTATTTGGTCTAAACATTTCTACAGGTGTACAGGGTTATTTGGTCTAAACATTTCTACAGGTGTACATGGTTATTTGGTCTAAACATTTCTACAGGTGTACAAGGTTATTTGGTCTAAACATTTCTACAGGTGTACAGGGTTATTTGGTCTAAACATTTCTACAGATGTACATGGTTATTTAGTCTAAACATTTCTACAGGTGTACATATCTGGTCTAAACATTTCTACATGTGTACAATGTTATTTGGTCTAAACATTTCTACAGGTGTACATGGTTATTTGGTCTAAACATTTCTACAGGTGTACATGGTTATTTGGTCTAAACATTTCTACAGGTGTACAGATCTGGTCTAAACATTTCTACAGGTGTACATGGTTATTTGGTCTAAACATTTCTACAGGTGTACATGGTTATTTGGTCTAAACATTTCTACAGGTGTACAGGGTTATTTGGTCTAAACATTTCTACAGGTGTACAGATCTGGTCTAAACATTTCTACAGGTGTACAGGGTTATTTGGTCTAAACATTTCTACAGGTGTACATGGTTATTTGGTCTAAACATTTCTACAGGTGTACAGATCTGGTCTAAACATTTCTACAGGTGTACAGATCTGGTCTAAACATTTCTACAGGTGTACAGGGTTATTTGGTCTAAACATTTCTACAGGTGTACAAGGTTATTTGGTCTAAACATTTCTACAGGTGTACAGGGTTATTTGGTCTAAACATTTCTACAGGTGTACAAGGTTATTTGGTCTAAACATTTCTACAGGTGTACAGGGTTATTTGGTCTAAACATTTCTACAGGTGTACATGGTTATTTGGTCTAAACATTTCTACAGGTGTACAAGGTTATTTGGTCTAAACATTTCTACAGGTGTACAGGGTTATTTGGTCTAAACATTTCTACAGGTGTACATGGTTATTTGGTCTAAACATTTCTACAGGTGTACAGGGTTATTTGGTCTAAACATTTCTACAGGTGTACATGGTTATTTGGTCTAAACATTTCTACAGGTGTACAGATCTGGTCTAAACATTTCTACATGTGTACAAGGTTATTTGGTCTAAACATTTCTACAGGTGTACATGGTTATTTGGTCTAAACATTTCTACAGGTGTACATGGTTATTTGGTCTAAACATTTCTACAGGTGTACAGATCTGGTCTAAACATTTCTACAGGTGTACATGGTTATTTGGTCTAAACATTTCTACAGGTGTACATGGTTATTTGGTCTAAACATTTCTACAGGTGTACAGGGTTATTTGGTCTAAACATTTCTACAGGTGTACAGATCTGGTCTAAACATTTCTACAGGTGTACATGGTTATTTGGTCTAAACATTTCTACAGGTGTACATGGTTATTTGGTCTAAACATTTCTACAGGTGTACAGATCTGGTCTAAACATTTCTACAGGTGTACAGATCTGGTCTAAACATTTCTACAGGTGTACAGGGTTATTTGGTCTAAACATTTCTACAGGTGTACAAGGTTATTTGGTCTAAACATTTCTACAGGTGTACAGGGTTATTTGGTCTAAACATTTCTACAGGTGTACAAGGTTATTTGGTCTAAACATTTCTACAGGTGTACAGGGTTATTTGGTCTAAACATTTCTACAGGTGTACATGGTTATTTGGTCTAAACATTTCTACAGGTGTACAAGGTTATTTGGTCTAAACATTTCTACAGGTGTACAGGGTTATTTGGTCTAAACATTTCTACAGGTGTACATGGTTATTTGGTCTAAACATTTCTACAGGTGTACAGATCTGGTCTAAACATTTCTACATGTGTACAAGGTTATTTGGTCTAAACATTTCTACAGGTGTACATGGTTATTTGGTCTAAACATTTCTACAGGTGTACATGGTTATTTGGTCTAAACATTTCTACAGGTGTACAGATCTGGTCTTAACATTTCTACAGGTGTACATGGTTATTTGGTCTAAACATTTCTACAGGTGTACATGGTTATTTGGTCTAAACATTTCTACAGGTGTACAGGGTTATTTGGTCTAAACATTTCTACAGGTGTACAGATCTGGTCTAAACATTTCTACAGGTGTACAGGGTTATTTGGTCTAAACATTTCTACAGGTGTACATGGTTATTTGGTCTAAACATTTCTACAGGTGTACAGATCTGGTCTAAACATTTCTACAGGTGTACAGATCTGGTCTAAACATTTCTACAGGTGTACAGGGTTATTTGGTCTAAACATTTCTACAGGTGTACAAGGTTATTTGGTCTAAACATTTCTACAGGTGTACAGGGTTATTTGGTCTAAACATTTCTACAGGTGTACAAGGTTATTTGGTCTAAACATTTCTACAGGTGTACATGGTTATTTGGTCTAAACATTTCTACAGGTGTACAAGGTTATTTGGTCTAAACATTTCTACAGGTGTACAGGGTTATTTGGTCTAAACATTTCTACAGGTGTACATGGTTATTTGGTCTAAACATTTCTACAGGTGTACAGATCTGGTCTAAACATTTCTACAGGTGTACAAGGTTATTTGGTCTAAACATTTCTACAGGTGTACATGGTTATTTGGTCTAAACATTTCTACAGGTGTACATGGTTATTTGGTCTAAACATTTCTACAGGTGTACATGGTTATTTGGTCTAAACATTTCTACAGGTGTACATGGTTATTTGGTCTAAACATTTCTACAGGTGTACAGATCTGGTCTAAACATTTCTACAGGTGTACAGGGTTATTTGGTCTAAACATTTCTACAGGTGTACATGGTTATTTGGTCTAAACATTTCTACAGGTGTACAGATCTGGTCTAAACATTTCTACAG